GGAGACCAGGGGACACTAAAGAGTGATGCATACAGCTGGGAGACCAGGGGACACTAAAGAGTGACACACACAGCTGGGAGACCAGGGGACACTAAAGAGTGATGCACACAGTTGGGAGACCAGGGGAAACTAAAGAGTGACGCACACAGCTGGGAGACCAGGGGACACTAAAGAGTGACGCACACAGCTGGGAGACCAGGGGACACTAAAGAGTGATGCATACAGCTGGGAGACCAGGGGACACTAAAGAGTGACGCACACAGCTGGGAGACCAGGGGACACTAAAGAGTGACGCACACAGCTGGGAGACAAGGGGACACTAAAGAGTGACACACACAGCGGGGGACACTAAAGAGTGACACAGACAGCTGGGGACCAGGGGACACTAAAGAGTGACGCACACAGCTGGGAGACCAGGGGACACTAAAGAGTGATGCACACAGCTGGGAGACCAGGGGACACTAAAGAGTGACGCACACAGCTGGGAGACCAGGGGACACTAAAGAGTGACACACACAGCTGGGAGACCAGGGGACACTAAAGAGTGACGCACACAGCTGGGAGACCAGGGGACACTAAAGAGTGACACACACAGCTGGGAGACCAGGGGACACTAAAGAGTGACGCACACAGCTGGGAGACCAGGGGACACTAAAGAGTGACGCACACAGCTGGGAGACCAGGGGACACTAAAAGTGACGCACACAGCTGGGAGACCAGGGGACACTAAAAAGTGACACACACAGCTGGGAGACCAGGGGACACTAAAGAGTGATGCATACAGCTGGGAGACAAGGGGACACTAAAAAGTGATGCATACAGCTGAGTGGCGTCACTTTCTAGTGTCCCCTGGTCTCCGTTGGGATTTGAGCTTCTTGCAGCTTCTTGTTTCCTCAAGTTGGTGAAGATGTTTCTTCATTTGCATGGTTTCTGGCACATTTGTGTAACTTATTATATTTCAAATAAAATAGTGTCAAACAAGTAGATAGTGGCACAATCTATCATTGTCATAGAGACTATAACAAATAGTATTTTTAAATGGTAGCTATGAGGCTTTGCTCACAACCTCACGCCACATGCACACAGGCTCTAATGAAGGAGGCATGTCACGGAAACGTTTTTTAAACACAATGCCTCTCACTTACATCATCCACCATCAGAGTTGCTATGGCTCGGCCGATCTCATTATACGACTTGGCCTTTCCCTGAGGTCCCAGGAGAATAAACAGGAATCTGTAGGTGATGGAAAACAAACATTTCACATAACATCACGATCACTGAGAGAAGCTTGCTGAAAGACCCTCCATTGTACATTAGACCTGGGGTTTAGCTCTGAATGTGATGAGGATTGACTGGTGCACAAAGAATGCTTCAGCCTGAATTTATTAAATTGTGGGACCCTGTATCTCTGATTTGATAGAAACACATACTTTTTTCTTGTTTTTATTTCATTTAAGTATGGCCAGTTCTGCACAACCCTCCGTATCTACACAGCTTTCCGTAACAATACTTCACATATTTTACTGAGTACTTTGTGCTTTGCAATACGTAGTTTTTGGGTATATCCAGATTTCCAGATGTATATAATTTTCTATATCTTAACTTGTGTTTTCTATGAGTGTTTTTATTAATTTGTAGGTGTTTTTTCTTACTTTTAAATTTCTTTAGCTGTGTTTATGTATGCACCATGTACACCAAGGCAAATTCCCCGTATGTGTAAACCTACGATAAACCTGTTTCTGATTCTGATCAAAAGTTGACATACAGTTGTAAAGAACATCATGACGGTCTTGACTTTTCAATAATTTCTACAACTCTTATTTTTCGGTGATAGATTGATTGGAGCACATACTACATTGTCACAAAACAAAAACCATGAAGTTTGTTTGTTTTATTCATTTATAATGGGTCTTGAATGAATCTGATGGGTCAAAAATATACATAAAATGAAATGCATGTTCTTTACAGGTGTATGTAAACTTTTGACCACAATATATTCACTGTTCAGGACATGGTTTGGAGAGATGATGTTGTTGGACAGCCTCACTATGTAGTAATGTCTCACAGGGAAGTTTTATGGATCAGTGATGGAGCAGCTGTTTCTTTTGTTTTTTACCTGGTGGGAACGGGGACCTCGGTGAGACCCCCGAGCGTCGTAGCCTGGGCCAAACGCACAAACGCTACGAAGGGTTTGTTCAGGAAGTCCACTTCACCCACCAAGACGTTGGAGGCCTCTGCGTCTCGAGGGATTTTCTTCATGAATTTGTTTTTCAGCTGCAGAAAGTGGAGGAATAAAACAAAACATCTGAATCAGAATGGAGTTTATGGCCAGATACACATACAAGCAGGAGAGGACTCTTTAAAGTAGAGACACTACTGATATACACCTGAACATCAGCAGGAGAGGACTCTTTAAAGTAGAGACACTACATACTGATATACACCTGAACATCAGCAGGAGAGGACTCTTTAAAGTAGAGACACTACATACTGATATACACCTGAACATCAGCAGGAGAGGACTCTTTAAAGTAGAGACACTACATACTGATATACACCTGAACATCAGCAGGAGAGGACTCTTTAAAGTAGAGACACTACATACTGATATACACCTGAACATCAGCAGGAGAGGACTCTTTAAAGTAGAGACACTACAGACTGATATACACCTGAACATCAGCAGGAGAGGACTCTTTAAAGTAGAGACACTACATACTGATATACACCTGAACATCAGCAGGAGAGGACTCTTTAAAGTAGAGACACTACATACTGATATACACCTGATCATCAGCAGGAGAGGACTCTTTAAAGTAGAGACACTACATACTGATATACACCTGAACATCAGCAGGAGAGGACTCTTTAAAGTAGAGACACTACATACTGATATACACCTGAA